TTGGTTCGAACCCCAGCCACGGCACCTCCTGCTTGGAGTTTGCATGTTCTCCCTGTGCCTGCGTGGGTTTCATCTGCGTACTCCTGTTTCCTCCCACACTCCAAACGACATGCTGGTAGGTTCATTGGCTCCTGTCTAAATTGGTCCTAGCAGGGGTGGACTGATAACTCATGGGGCCCCAGGGCAATAGAGGATCATGGGGCCAGTGTATCCTTGCCCAAACTCTAAAAAGCCTATGAAAAAGGTACCAGGGGCATCTCATGGGGCCCCCTACTGACCCTGGGCCCTCGGGCAGTGCCCGAGTTTCCAAATGATCAGTCCGCCCCTGGGTCCTAGTATATGAATGTGAGTTATTTTACATTTTTTATTAAATTATTTTTTCTTTTTTTAAGATTTCTTTTCATATTTCACTATGTCCAAAGTAGTACAATGTTACCATAGTAACATTGTACTACTTTGGGGAAGTGATCAGTATTTTTTTTTTTTTTTACACAATTTGCTTATAGCAAAGAATTACTTTGCTATAAGCAAGCATTTACCTGAATGACATCGATTCATTCAGGTTTTTGTTTTTTTTTTTGCTTAGCTGTGATTTGGCCACAGCTAATCACATGACATGTGCATGTGACCTGCTGTGACCATTCACAGCTAGACACTAGTATACAATGGATGGCATGAATGAAGCCATCCATTGTATACAACTGTCATGTGACCTGCTGTCATTGTTCACAGCAGGTCACATGGTACCGGGAACGGGGGCCGATACTCAGATCTGTCATCGGCCGTGTCCGAGGTACAGATCGTGCCGCTCTGCAAGCGCGCAAACTGCGCATGTGCGGGAGGACGCCAAATGGCGGCCTCCCGGAAAGCTAATACATTTTTACGGATGCCATTTGGCCATAGGGCGGGCGTCAAATGGTTAAACTGAGGCTGGCCATACATTTTATATTTTTCTTATTCAATTTCCTATAGATTTACCTTCAGCAATAGGGGATCATGGGGCCCTTGTGTCCTTGCCCAAACTCAAAAAAGCCTATGAAAAAGGTACCAGGGGAATCTTATGGGGCCCCCTACTGACCCCAGGCCCTTGGGCAGTGCCCCTGGGCCTGCCTGACTGCATAGAAATTGACATTGTTAAGGTCTAACCTCATATTAAATGGTTTTGGGAAATCTAAAAAAATTGTGCAAGAAAATTGTATAATGTATGGCCAGCCTTAGCTTCAAAAAAAGTGACAGTTGTTTTCAGCTGAGTTCAATAAGATTTGAAAAGAACTGTCACATGGCTGAAAATATATTTTTTGAACCTGTACTAAGGATACCTATCCAGTTGTTTGTGTGAAGGATATCCTTATATTATATGGTGTAAATGCTAAATATCCTTATTTTCACTAGGGTGGGGCCCTTATTAAAAAAAGTGACAGTTATTTTTTATTTCAGGTACTTATATAGCACCGTCAATTTACACAGCACTTTACATATATATTGTACATTCACATCAGTCCCTAACCCTCAAGGGGCGTACAATCTAAGGTCCCTAACTCACATTCATACATACATATACTAGGGACAATATAGACAGGAGCCAATTAACCTACCAGCATGTCTTTGGAGTGTGGGAGGAAACTGGAGTACCCGGAGGAAACCCACACAGGCACAGCGAAAACATTCAAACTCCAGGCAGGTGGTGCCGTGGTTGGGATTTGAACCAACAACCCCAGTAGTGCCAGGCGGAAGTGCTAACTATTCAGCCACTGTGCTGCCTGTTTTTTTGCTAAGCTCAATTAAATTTAAAAGGTACTCTGACATGGGCAGCACAGTTGGTAAATAGTTAGCACTTCCGCCTGGCAGTACTAGGGTTGTTGGCAGGGGCGGACTGACCATTCGAGCACTCGGGCACTGCCTGAGGGCCGGGGTCAGTAGGGGGGCCCCATGAAAAGCCCTTGTTACCTTTTTTATAGGCTTTTTTGAGTGTGGGCAAGGACACAGGGGCCCCATGATCCCCTATTGCCCAGGGGCCCCATGAGTTGTCAGTCCACCCCTGGTCTTTGTTTCGAGTCCCAACCACAGCACCACCTGCCTGAAGTTTGCATGTTCTCCCTGTGCCTGTGTGGGTTTCCTCTGGGAACTCCGGTTTCCTCCCACAATCCAAAACATGCTTAGGTAAACTGGCTCCTGTCTAAATTGTCCCTAGTATGTGTATGTATGAATGTGAGTTAGGGACCTTAGATTGTACACCCCTTGAGGGTTAGGGACTAATGTGAATATAGATTGGCAGCACAGTGGCTAAATGGTTAGCACTTCTGCCTGGCAGTACTAGGGTCGCTGGTTCAAATCCACACCACCTGCCTGGAGTTTGCATGTTCTCCCTGTGCTTGCGTGGGTTTCCTCCTGGTACTCCGGTTTCCTCCCACACTCCAAAGACATGCTGGTAGGTTAATTGGTTCCTGTCTAAATTGGCCTGTGTATGTGTATGTATGAATGTGAGTTAGGGACCTTAGATTGTACGCCCCTTGAAGGTTAGGGACTGATGTGAATGTAAAATATATATGTAAAGTGCTGTGTAAATTGATGGTGCTATACAAGTACCTGAAATAAAATGACTGAAAATACAGATATCTATACTTGTGCAAAGCCTTGTAAACTGAGCCTACGGACTGCCATCGTTGACCTTCTAAGCCCAATGAGAATACAGACAGTACAGTCAGCACTCCTAAACTGCATACTTGATCCAGGTCAGTGGCCAAGAAAGTCTAAAAGCCAGCTAGCAGCTTCACAGAGTCAACAAGGCAAATTGATCATCTGGAGCAGTTGTTCATGGCAACCAATCAGCTTCTGTCTTTCATTTCCAAAGCTTAAATGAACAAACCGAAGATAGAAGCTGATTGGTTGCCAAGCAGAGATGCTCCAGTTTTTGTCTGCTGTTTTGATAAATCCCCCCGTAGGTATTTGCTTCATGACAGGTTTTCTTTAGTAAGGTGATGGATTGAGCAACAAGAACATGCAGCACGCTGTAACTCTTAGTAACCAATCAGGTTCCGACATTAGACAGTTTAAATTAGTCAGCTAAATTCTGATTGGCTGACCCGGACTGGTGTGCTTTTCCCTCTTGCTATATGTCTTAATAAAGGAAACCGATACTGAGAGATGAGACATGAGAGGGTGCCATAGATGCAGGAGGCTAGTTACCTGGTATCATCAGTACTTCCCAGGGGCAAACTGAGCATTTGGAAAGTCGGGCACTGCCCGAGGGCCCAGGGTCAGTAGGGGGCCCCATGAGATGCCCCTGGTACCTTTTTCATAGGCTTTTTTGAGTTTGGGCAAGGACACAGGCGCCACATGATCCCCTATTGCCCGGGGGCCCCATGAGTTTGTCAGTCCGCCCCTGGAACTTCCATACCCCGGGCCAGGACAAGGGGTGGGCAGGAGGGGCGGTTTCCCTTGGCACAATGGTTTGCCGTAAGGGTGCGGGCGTCTTCCTTCTGTTACAAGGGACAAGAGCCGGGGTGGGGGGGCAGTTTGGCATCTTTGACCTTGGAACTGGATGACCTTGTCCTGGCACCGGCCATACCCAGTGGTGTATTTAGGTCCGTCCCCCCCCCCTGTGGAGAGCCCCTGACACTGACAAAACACCCCCTCCCTCAACATAAGAGCCTGACATTGACCAACACCCCACCTGAGAGCCTTCCACTACCGCCGCCCCCCATGCACTGGCAACCCCCCCTCCACCCCGGTGAGAAAGAAGACCGCTCCGGACATCCCCGGGAACAAGAGTCAGGCTCTGCATACTCCATCAAGCAGCCCTCAGTCTCTCTCAGATCCCACCTGGTGCCCATGCTGTGTGTCCTTTCTTCCATCCCTTCTTTCAGGGGGCGGTGCTGCCCCCCTGAAAAATGCCACTGCCCCCTGAAAAAATGCAACCCTAGGCAAATGCCTTGTTTGCCTTGTGGTAAATACGCCCCTGGCTGCCCCCCTGAAAAATGCCACTGTCCCCCCCTGCCCCCCTGAAAAAAATGCAACCCTAGGCAAATGCCTTGTTTGCCTTGTGGTAAATACGCCCCTGGCTGCCCCCCTGAAAAATGCCGCTGCCCCCGTGAAAAAATGCAGCCCTAGGCAAATGCCTTGTTTGTCTTGTGGTAAATACGCCCCTGGCTGCCCCCCTGAAAAATGCCACTGCCCCCCTGAAAAAATGCCGCCCTAGCCAAATGCCTTGTTTGACTTGTGGTAAATATGCCCCTGGCTGCCCCCCTGAAAAAATGCCACCCTAGGCAAATGCCTTGTTTGTCTTGTGGTAAATACGCCCCTGGCTGCCCCCCTGAAAAATGCCACTGCCCTCTGAAAAAATGCCGCCCTAGGCAAATGTCTTTTTTTTGCCTTGTGGTAAATACGCTCCTGGCTGCCCCCCTGAAAAATGCCGCTGCCCCCTTGATAAAATGCCACCCTAGGCAAATGCCTTGTGGTAAATACGCCACTGCCCATACTCACTAACCTGTTACGAGTATGCGGCAAGTTCCTAAGAGCCCCTGCTCTGCACATTTGTTGCAGGAACTACTGATGCCATTGATTCAGCATGACAGCCAGGCACTGAGCATTTTCAGAAGTGCCAGCCTACAGACTGGTGTAGGACACAGCAGGTCACGGTAGTTGCTCCCATGCTAAGCAAGGCAACTGTTACACCGTGCATTAGCAAAGTCCAGATTTCATTTTATTCAGACTCTTACAGGGGCGGACTGACAACTCATTGGGCCCCCGGGCAATAGGAAATCATGGGGCCCCTGTGTCCTCGCCCACACTCAAACCACACCCAAAAAAAGCCCATGAAAGGTACCAGGGGCATCTCATGGGGCCCCCTACTGACCCCAGGCCCTCAGGCAGTGACCGAGTGGCTAAATGGTCAGTCCGCCCCTGGACTCTTATATCAAAAAAATGTAACGCATATCAAGGGTCCAAAGGGTGCTGCCCTTAGAACGAATACAGGTGACCAGATAGAGCTTGGTACTTACCACTTGCCCCGGTTGCAGAACGCTGGCCATGGTGACCGGCGTTCCTTCCCCGCTGTCGGGCGGCATCTTCTTCTTACGGAGATACTTGCACAGGAATAGGAATCCGCAGAGGGCAAAGAGCCCCGAGGCCGTGCCCAGGGTGGCCCCCATGGCTATTAAAGGGGCAGTGAACATCTTGAGATGTAAAGTGGTGGACCCAGCTGTGGAGACGTTCAACGTGGCATCACCAGCCCCATTCCTGGAGGTAGAACGCGGAGACGATTCCAAGTTTCCTGGAGAGTATCGGAGCTCAACATGCGATAGCTTGCTTCTACTGCTGAGGCTGCTGCTCACTCCGAGCTCGCCGTCTCTCCAGGGAACAAGACTTGATTGCTGCACACGTCACTGGATGGGATTGGGGCTGCTGGATGGCGCTCAGGCGTACCGTTCCCTGTCATCTCCCTCAGGCTTTGAACTTCAAGCTCTGCTGGAAATGCCACTATGTGAATGAAATAACAGGTTCTCTGCAATCTCCGGAATCCTCCTCATCAGGACTAAAATCCTTCATTTTCACCCAACATAAGGACGCCATCGCCGGACAGCTTGCACAGATGGCATCCTCAAGCGCTTTAACCCCTTCATTGCCACTCTTCCCTCAGGCAGCTTCACATGCATGTTACATCTCTCAAGATGAATTATTGGAACCACTTAAGCTCTGGAAGGTTTTACTCCTCTTCATGACCAGGCTAATGTTTGCTATTCAGCACTGCATTACTTTAACTGCAGTGTTCATTTTGACGTCAAATTTCGATTCAGTTTTAGTCATAGACTTTTGACTAAAATGTCATTTTAGTTTTAGTCGTATTTTATTCACCTGAGTTGTTTTAGTCGTATTTTAGTCATCTGAATTGTTTTAGTCGTATTTTAATCATCTGAGTTGTAGTTTTAGCCACCTGAGTTGTTTTAGTCGTATTTTAGTCATCTGAATTGATTTCGTTTTAGTTGTAATTTAGTCATCTGAATTGATTTAGTTTTAGTCGTATTTTAGCCACCTGAGTTGTTTTAGTTGTATTTTAGTCATCTGAATTGATTTAGTTTTAGTTGTATTTTAGTCATCTGAATTGATTTAGTTTTAGTCGTATTTTAGTCACCTGAGTTGTGTTAGTTTTAGCCACCTGAGTTGTTTTAGTCGTATTTTAGTCATCTGAATTGATTTAGTTTTAGTTGTATTTTAGTCATCTGAATTGATTTAGTTTTAGTTGTATTTTAGTCATCTGAATTGATTTAGTTTTAGTCGTATTTTAATCATCTGAGTTGTTTTAGTTGTATTTTAGTCACCTGAGTTGTTTTAGTTGTATTTTAGTCATCTGTGCTTTAGTTTTAGTCGTATTTTAGTCACCTGAGTTGTTTGTCGTATTTTAGTCATTTTGAGTTGTTTTAGTTGTTTTAGTTTTGAGTTCTTTTAGTTGTATTTTAATCATCTGAATTGTTTCGGCTTTAGTCCTATTTTAATCATCTGAGTTGTTTTTTAGTTGTATTTTAGTCATTTGAGTTGTTTTAGTCGTATTTTAGTCACCTGAGTTGTTTGTCGTATTTTAGTAATTTTGAGTTGTTTTAGTTGTATTTTAATCATCTGAATTGTTTCGGCTTTAGTCGTATTTTAATCATCTGAGTTGTTTTAGTTGTATTTTAGTCATTTGAGTAGTTTTAGTCGTATTTTAGTCACCTGAGTTGTTTGTCGTATTTTAGTCATTTTGAGTTGTTTTAGTTTTAGTTGTATTTTAATCATCTGAATTGTTTCGGCTTTAGTCGTATTTTAATCATCTGAGTTGTTTTAGTTGTATTTTAGTCATTTGAGTTGTTTTAGTCGTATTTTAGTCACCTGAGTTGTTTGTCGTATTTTAGTCATTTTGAGTTGTTTTAGTTTTAGTTGTATTTTAATCATCTGAATTGTTTTTCAGCTTTAGTCGTATTTTAATCATCTGAGTTGTTTTAGTTGTATTTTAGTCATTTGAGTTGTTTTAGTCGTATTTTAGTCATCTGTGTTAGTTTTAGTCGTATTTCAGTCATCTGAGTTGTTTTAGTCGTAGTCATATTTTAGTCATCTGAATTAATTTAGTTTTAGTTGCATGTTGGTCATCTGAGTTGTTTTAGTCGCATTATAGTCATCTGAATTGTTTTAGTCATATTTTAGTTGACTAAAATAGTGGCAATTTCATCGATGAAAATATTATAGTTTACGAAATTTAAGGCTAGGTTCCCACCTATGCAGTTTGCATTTTATCCATTTCTGCAGTGCGTTTTGCATTTTTGCACATGCGTTTTTGCCACGTTTTTGATGCGTTTTTTTCTTGTTGCTAGGGGGATGCAAAACGCATCAAAAATGCATAAACGCATAAAACCCCTAGCAAAAATGCACTACATGCTTTTTCTTCCATTGAAGTCTATAGAATTAAAAAATGTCCCTGATCCTTTCCAAAAACGCACCGGGGGAAAATGCGGAGATGTGAACCTGTTCCATAGGAAATCATGTTAAATGGACTGTACTGCGTCTCTGCAAAACTCTGCGGACAACGCATAGGTGTGAACCTAGGTTAACACTGTTTAACTGGTAATTGCGCAGTCATGCAATGCTGTAGATAGAGAATGAAAAAAGACCAAAAATAAAATCTCCAGTACATTTTAGTCAACTAAAATCTAATGGGTTTAGTTAAATTGTAATGCATTATGTAAGTATTTCTCTAGAATTTCCAAACTCATTATATACTCCTGGAGTAAAAATCCAATAACATTATTATTTATGCTGGTTCACACCATAGAAACGCAGTCCAGATGCATTTCTATATGCAGGTTTTTGATGCGTCTTTTTACACATTTTTGAGGTGTTTCCGGTGTTGTTTTGACATGTTTTTGATGTGTTTTTGATGCTTTTTTTTGTGCATTCCAGTTAATTTCCCCCCCATTTTTTCTTTACCTTAAATAAGAAATTGTGCGTTCCAGTGCATTTTTGGTGCATCTAGGTGCGTTTTTGGTGCGTTTTTACTATGTTTCAGTACAGTTCAGTGCAGAAAAAATGCAGCATGTTCTACTTTTTTTCTGGAACGGACTGCACTGGTGTGATCTAGGCCATTGAAAACAATGTATCCAGATCTAGGCCATTGAAAACAATGCATTTTTTGATACAGAAAAAAAAGCACTGGACTGCATGAGGTGTGAATTGGTCTTTAACCCCTTGCCTACTAGACACTTACACCCCCTTCCTGCCCAGGCCAGTTTTCAGCTTTCAGTGCTGTTGCACTTTGACAATTGCGTGGTCATGCAACACTGTACTCATATGACATTTTTATCATTTTTTTCACACAAAAAGAGCTTTCTTTTGGTGGTATGTACTCGCCGCTGAGTGTTTTATTTTTTGCGCTATAAACAAAAAAAGAGCAAAAAATGAAAAAAAAAGTGTTTTTGTTTCTATTATAAAATTTTGCAAAAAGGTAATTTTTCTCCTTCACTGATGTGTGTTCATGAGGCTGCACTGATAGGCAACACTTATTATTATTATTATTTATTTCAGGTACTTATATAGCGCCATCAATTTACACAGCGCTTTACATATATATTGTACATTCACATCAGTCCCTAACCCTCAAGGGGTGTACAATCTAAGGTCCCTAACTCACATTCATACATACACATATACTAGGGACAATTTAGACAGGAGATCCAATTCACCTACCAGCATGTCTTTGGAGTGTGGGAGGAAACCAGAGTACCTGGAGGAAACCCACGCAGGCCCAGGCACAGGGAGAACATGCAAACTCCAGGCAGGTGATGCCTGGGTGCACTGATAGGCAGCACTGATGGGCACTGATAGGCAGCACTGATAGGCAGCACTGGGCACTGATAGGTGGCACTGATGAGTTGGCACTGATGATAATGCTGCACTGATATGTAACAATGATGGGCACTGATAGGTGGCACTGATGGGCAGCACTAACTGATGGCATTGCTGGGCACTGACTGGGGTCACTGCTCGGCACTGAGGGTGGCAATTATGGGGGGAACTGCTGGGCACTGGTGGGTGGCACTGCTGGGCACAAGTGGGTGGCACTACTAGGCACTGATGGGCACTGATAGGCAGCACTGATGGGTGACACCGACTGGCGGCACTGCTGGGCACTGTCTGGCGACACTGCTGGTCACTGATGGGTGGCACTGATGGGGCAAACTGCTGGACACTGGGTGGCACTGCTGGGCACAGGTGGGTAGCACTACTAGGCACTGCTGGGCACAGGTGGGGAACTACTGGGCATATGTGGGCAGCATTGGTGGGTGGCACTGCTGGGCACTGATCATCAGTGCCCTGATGATCGGTGCCGATCCATCCTCTGACTACTGCCGATAACCGGAAACTGCGTTTACCGGTGATCTGCCGTGTTATTGGACACAGCTGATCACGTGGTAAAAGGCCGCTGTGATTGGCCTTTTACCACATCACGTGATCAGCTGTGTCTGCAGGACACAGCGATCACGGAGATCGCCGGTTGCGTGTCCCCAGGGTGTGAGCGGGAGGGCGCGTTCTGGGAGGACGTCATATGACGTCCTCCCAGAACTGGACAACCGTGCTCTAACCATCATTCGACTATAGCGCGGTTGGCAAGTGGTTAAGGTGTGAACATGCGCTACAGACACAGATTTACTATTGTGATATATAACCAGCGTTCATTTGATGTCAAATTTTGGTTTAGTTTTAGTCCTAGTCTAAAATGCCATTTTAGTTGTAGTCGTATTTTAGTCGACTAACAGTCTTAATCTCGTTAATCACCACTGGGTGTTTTATTTTTTTATTATACAAACAAAAAGACAGAAAATTTTTAAGAAAAACAATATTTTGTACTTTCTGCCAATAAAAAAAAATAAAATGTATTCTCAAATTTAGACCAAAATGTATTCTGCTACATGTCTTTGGAAAAAACAATCCCAATAAGTGTATATTGATTGGTTTGCATGAAAGTTATAACCTCTACAAACTATGGGATATATACTGGAATCTTTTTACATTTATTTATACTAGTAATGGCGGCGTTCAGTGACCTATAGTGGGACTGTGATAGTGCGGTGTGAAAATCTGACACTAACTGATACTTTGTGGGAACTGATTAACTGCCACTATCACTAATATAGTGATAAGTGCTAATAAT